CTGGGGCACTAAACATCACGACATCAGATTCGGACCAGCCTGACAGAGTGGGCACACAAGTAATGCGATGCAGGATGTGATCTCATTACACAAGGTGCTGCGATCATAGGTACACTGGGTGCAGTTTGTACGGTAAAACACAGCAATGGCAGTGCAAGTGCGTGTAGAGTGCGGGTTGACTCAAACATCAGAGGGCAAGTTGAGAGCAGCACTAGTACGTTCAAGAACTGCACTTCTGCTGTTGAGAGGGGCTCTGCAGTTTGTGATCTCCCTCCTGTGCCCACCTGATCAAAGCGCAGTGTGGAGGATGGTGATCCATCCTCAAGACCTGCCAATAAACCAAGTCACAAATGAGAGCAACGCAGCAGGTGTGCATGGAGGCACTTGAGATTCCGCAGTACATGCAAAGTTGCAGGTACACAGAAAGCCGTGCAATGCAGACCATTTAGAGGCGTTTCATCGTCGGGGCAGCGCCAGCGCCTTTATTCTTGAAGGATGCAGCATTGAGTGCCCCTTCATCTTCTAATATATACGGTATTCAACAACAATGACACTCATACTGGGCACAGCTTCAAACGCCTCGTATATATCCTGGTTCTTGCATGTGCTGTCCAGCAGCATCACCGCGTAATATTTTCCAGGGCTGAACGGCAGCCTCAGCCCCTTGACGACGACTTTGGCCTTGGCTTTCACTGCCACCTGGGCAGTAAACTCTGAGGTCGACACCCAGCCCGCGCCTCTGCCCGTCGTGCAGTTGAACTCGTCCAACGGCAGCTCGTCCCCGTTCGCAAACGCGGACACGACGCCGACCGCGCCCGGCCCGTTGCCGCCGTTCCTGAGGGTGATTTTGAGGTCGGCGGTGCCGCCGCGCTTGAGGGGGCCGAGCCCGCGCGGGGTCATGCGCGATGTGCCGACCTCGTAAAACGCGGGGAGGGGGGCGGCGAGCGACTTGTAGTAGCCCCTGCCGATGTTGTCGCTCTCGCGGCCCTCTGCAGTCGCGCAGTCTGCTCGAGTTCCGCGTCCGGGGTGCGGGGCGGTGTGCGTGTGGGTCGAGGGCAACGTAATTGCAGGCTCTGCCGTACGGTCTTGCGTCACACACAGCACCCTGTGTCCAAGTCTGTGCTGATGGCCTGAATTGCTCACCTGCATCTATGAGAACCTGGACCATGCTGAGGCCAGGGGTGGCAAATATTGGGATGCCTTGCACCTTGTAGTTTTTGACCTTGCCGGGGTGGATGGCGTCAGTGAATCTCACGGTGAAGTCCGACGACGGACTGCCGCAGCTCAGCACCCGGGTGTCGTTCTTGAGGCCCGACAAGAACTGCGCGTGCGGCGACGGACGAGGTGCGCGAGCGCTTCATATCAGGAGGAGCCGTGGCTTTCTGCCTGAGCGGTTACCGCCGCATCGCTCATCACTCACGGACGGCCTAGCTAGGTGCCATCCTTCCGAGTCGTGCTTGCTGTCACACACGCGCCCGCGCGACATGCAGGCTTGGTCACATGGATTGACTGACAGGATGCCAGAAAGAAGCCTCCTTGGCAAGCTCGGGTGTGAAAGCCGCGCACCTTGACGGTGCCGATCGATCCCTCCTTGCTGCCCGAGTTTTGTACGGTGAGCACGACGTCAAAAGTTTGCCCAGTCAGGCCGGCGAAGTCGGCTGTGACGAGGTTGGTGGGAGCCCAAGCCACGCCCACTAAACCCAAGTTTGCTATAGGCTGTAGGCGGCGAGGCGGGGGTTGCCAGCGAGGGAGGAAGTATGTCGTAGGTGTAATCTGGAGGCTGCGCCCTTCAGGTCATGCATGAGCAGTGGTGGGGCACCCGGGGGGACCAGGCGGGGGCGGAGAGGGACCGGCTGCGAGAAATGGCGTAGGTAGCCACCCGAGACTGATGACTCAAGTTCCTCAAATTGCTTGCCCATCCGCTCTTAACCCCACCTCCACCTCCCACGCACATTGGCCGTCACTGTGTAATTGCAGGTGATCTGGTTGGCCTCGCTCGTCTCATTGATCTGGAGTGAGAGTGACAAGAGGCAGGCAACGAAGGCGTGTGTTGGTCTGCAGCCATCGCCGCCGCCAAAACGGGCTTCTCGAGTTAGACGCGTATCAGGTGTCACGGGCCGCTCGCTGATCAATAAGCCCTGAAATTGCACGCAGCCACTAGTGTGGGCACAGCACGAGCGTGCTGGACCTCCACCCTGCTGGCGGCTGATAGGTGGCGCTGCCAAGAGCGGCGGCGTGGACGCGGCCGCTGCGCCCTTGTCTGGCGCGGCTTGCGCGGCGGGCAGCGCACGCGTTGCTGCATGGGGCCCGGGGTGCCTCTGCAGGGACCCCGTAACACAAACATGTTAGTGTTCAGGTGCTGACTGCACGCGCGCGGGAGCAGCGTCGCATGGGGCAGCCGCAGAAGTAGGAAGGACTCCGTGAACACAGACGACATTAGGGGCGGCGCAACGGCAAAGCCATTGCGCTGCTTGCTGGAATCCCTCTCACAGAATGCGGCCCCATGGCGCACCTTGCCCTCGCTGTCCGCGAACAGGCGCAGCGTGCGGGGCCCCGCGGGTGCTGACAGGCCCTCCACCAAAGCCTTGAACTTTCCGCCGTTTGCCTTCAGCTTGGGGACCTCCAGGGTCCTGTCGGCCCTGGCGCCGCACTGCTGCTCCAAGGGCGAGTCTGCCCAGATGCTGAGTGTCGACTTTGGCGCCTTGGACAGGCCGATGTTCAAGACCACCACCCTCAAGGCAAACGTGGCGGGCGCGGCCGTCGGCGGGTCTGGCACCAAGCCGCCGTATCGGCTGATGCTCTGCGCAATTGCGACGAGGTCGGGAGCTCGTCCCGCTGTCGCGGCCGGGTCGACCCCCTGCAGCCCGCCGCCCTCGAGTTGCTGCCGCGCCCCCTCCGCGGCGGCGGCGGCGGCGGCGGCATCGCCGCCGAGCGTGTCCGTGGCGGCGACTAGGCCCCACTGGAGCGGGTTGGCTGGGCGGCGAGTCCAGGACGCCCGTGGGGCGTATGCTGCGGCTGTGACAGGCAGAGGGCGGGGCGTACAGGCCGAGGCTAAATGGTTGATGCCACAGTCAAGCGACGCACGTGTACTTCTGACATAACCCAGTGCTTTGTTTCACTAGCCTGGTATCAAAGAGTGATGCCAAAGTCATGCAGGGTAGCTGTGAGGGTGTGATGCCCGGCAATTGGCAGGGGCGGAAGCAGGGTGCAGCAGCACTGGCAGGGCAATGCAGCCCGTCGCGCTCTCAATCCAATCCGTTGAGTGCGGGTACCCCACATGCTGGGGGTGCCGCATGCCGCGTGGCATGCGCCCACCGGAAGCTGCTGCATTGATGATCATCACAATGAACAGGACGGCTGACGGCGCGGCGCCGCGGGGGCGCGCGGCGGGGCTGCGGAGCATGCGCGTCGAGGCCGCGAGCGGCGGCTCTGTAAGCGAGGTGGGGCATTCTTCGTAGAGTGCTGTGCTGAGCAGCGGGGCGCTATATAATGAGATCTGGTTGAGGGCGGTTAGCATCGCATAGCTAGGCAGCATGTGGCTGGTCTTTCTCAAGTGATGTGGCTGTTGGGAGCCTATCCTATGCCATGCAAATGCAGCCCCCGTGTGCATGGCGCGCTCAGCCGCTTGCTCACTGCGTCATCTGCACGTTCTGTTCCGTTGGCAATTACACCAATACGGGCGTTGTAGGGCTACGCCGAAGCACCAGAACAGCGATGATAATCCTCGCTCGGCGTTGTCTGACCATCCAGCCGCTGAGCAAAGTCGTCCGCACCGTGCACTACCATAATCAACAAACAAAATCGTGGCGCCATCAAGCCGCATGCTCAGGAAAACAAGAAAGGCACCCATGACTTATGAGCATGGAGGCCTGGGCTAGGCCTGAGTAGTACCCCGCCAACGTCGACGGTCCTCCCATCCGCAAGTGTGCACAACACGTGCGAGGGCACACCAGCGCAAGACGGCATCCTCGATGCCAGATTCAAGTGTTTCTGCAGCAGGCCGACCTGCAGGTGTGTGCACATCATGCGCTTTGCATGTGTGCAAGGGTGGCTGGCCACAGCGTCATCAGGCAGGAATCATGTCTCCTCGCAAGCCCGCATGCATGGGCGGTGGGTCGGTGTAGACATCGCCTCCGGCTGACCAGTTGTTGGCCGTGCAGCACCGTAACAGTTGAGCAACTGCAACGCTCCACCAGCCTGGTGGGCACTGTGCAGGCCGCTCCCAAAGAGTGAGATTAGGGCCGCCCGCGCCCGCTGTGGCAGGCTGGTGGCCGCGAGGCTCGACGACGGCCTTCCTCCACCCCCCTGCTGGTGCTCCGCGGCCTCGAATGCACGTGTTCGAGGCGAACTTTGATTGTGGCATTCCATTCGCTCTACGACGTGTTGCGGGCGGGGACTGCTAGCTGGCGGGCAGGGCCGCTGGGATGGCAAGGCACAGGCGCGCCAACCCATGCCCAGTCAGCAACAGCTTTCCGCAGTCGCCCTGGACTGCGACTGCCCCGGCCGCGCGACGCCAGCCGTTCCTTGGACACCCATTCATGTCGAACTCTCCCTTGAGTTGCCGACGGACGGCGGCACGCAGCTGCGTGCACGAAGCGCGGCTGGAATGTGCACTGTATCGGCCCTCAGTGCGTCAATTTGCCGATGCCACCTCAAGCCGCCAGATGCGAGAAAGTTTTCTTAATCTACCATATCCCCGTGCTGGTCTGTGTCGACCCATTCCCCGGACCACCGCCCGCCGCAGCAACTCCGTTCCGCACGACGCATCCTGGCATGCGTTTGCCCAGCTCGTGCCTGTCCAAGGCACGCGGCGCCACTGCACCACAGCTGGACTGTGTGCACCCCGCCAGTCCAGTCCAGGCCATAAGTGCTCCACGCATGCTTGACACCACACATCATATTACAAGGCCGGGCCGGAGCTCAGCACTGCAATAAAAACAAACGGTGCGCCAATCCCCACCCCCCTCCCGCACAAACCGCCAGGTTGGACTTCAAGAAAGGGTGAAAGCGCCAGCAATGCTGCCGGCGCGCAGCCCAAGGGGGTGGTGAAGGGCAGAAGCTGCGCGTCGGCGCCAGCTGCAAGCTGCGCTGGCAGTGCTGTGCGGAGTGAGCGCGCCGCCTAAGATCATGGAATCGTGCAGCGTGCAAAACGGGCGAGGGGGGCAGCTCGTGTCAGGCGAGCATGTCCGCAGCACCGAGGCCACAATCGGGCCAGCAAGCATGCAGAGACGTTTCCCCGCCGTTTCGGCGGGAATCGTCGGTGTCTTGTCAACCAATATCGACTAACGTAAACGTGTACAAAACCCGCATGTGCACACCGTCACACAGAAACCCGTGCTAAGCCCAGGCTCACAGGCAGCGCCGCACGTGCCCCGAAAGCCGATCAGCAGCGCGTGCCCCCAACGTGACCGTACCAAAAGGCAGGGTGCGCGCGCGGCGCGAGGCACCCTTTCCTTCCCTGCAACGGCAACTGGTGTGAGCGCTGTCAGACGCGCGGGCCCTGGCCGACGGCGGGCCCTAGCGCGTTTGCCCGCAGCCAGCGCTCTGAATGCGCGCGGGATCCGTGGCAGTGATGGCACAACAAAAATATCGCCGGTCCGCCATCCCGGGGGTCATCAGCACTTCTGTGCCCACGCACAGCATGCACAGCGCGGCACAGCGCCGCCAGCCGCCAACCGCCTGCGCAAGCGCGCCGGCGCCTGCGGCGCCGGCGGCGCGTCCCAGGCCCGCCGGCTCTCCGCCGCCGCCGCGGGCGGCGGCAGGGCGGGCATCGTGCGCCCGGCCCCTGCCTGGGGTCGCTCGTCGCCGCCCGCACACGGTGCACACACGGCAGCCGGGCCTTGGAGCCGCCCTTCTCGTTGTCAATTTTTGCGACGCGATGCAGGAAGGCAGCCATGGTCAAGAGGGCACTCAGCAGGGTGTGCAAGGGTGTGCAAGGGGGCGCGGTGCCCTCACAGCTCGTCCGCCTCCCAGGGGTTGTCCTCCCTGCGCTGCAGCATGCCGTTCCTGTAG